GAGCCTGCGCGCAGAGGGCCCGGGAGCTCCGGCCGCGCCTCCGGGGTGCCGGGTCCTGGCGCCCAGGGCGCAAGCGGGCGACCCGGGGCTGGACACGCGGGAGAGAACCAGGTTCCGGCCTCCCTGCGGGATCACTCACTGGGCCATGGCGGCGGCGGTCGAGCAAACTGATCCGAGGCGGAGAAGCGCGGGAGCTCTGCGCTCGCGAAGTGTGCGGTCGGCTCCGGATCCAGCTCCCACTGACTTCCCGAGCCTGCGGCCGCTCCTCACCCCATTTGCCGGCGCCCGCCAATCGGCAGCAAGGGGCGGGGTCTCGCGCCGCGCCATTGGTTCTCTCACGCGCCTGTTATACCACCTGAGGGCAAACGGGCCCGCCCACCCCCGGGGCTGGGTCAATAGATTTCTGAGCACATCGATGACAGCGCGCGCGCGCGGCACCGCCCCCTGGACGGCGGTGTGGGCGGGGTGTGCTTCTTGGCCCTTTGCTACTGCGCAGCTGCGAGGTGGGTGATTCCCTGCTGCGCACTTTGGGAAATTGTTACTTGGAATATTTGAACTTTATTTTTGTTTGTTTTTTTGAGGCAGGGTCTTGCTGTACTGTTCAGGCTGACCTTGAGCTCACTTTTAGCCCAGGCTGAAATTCGCAACGATCCTCCTGCCTTAGCTTTCCAAGTGCTGGGATTACAGGCGTTCGCCACCACGCCCGGCCTGAAACTTTAGTTTTTGAACTGCTTGATTCTAGTGTGACTGTATGGGAACTGTATGGGTCCATTACCCGCCCCCAGTGATGGGGATTGAACCCAGGGCCTCTCCCATGCTAGGCTCCTCTCTACCACAGAGCTACCTCAGCCTGTTGTTTGTATGTGTGTGTGTGTGTATATATACGCTCATACATACCCGGGACTGAGCTACATCACTAGCCCTTTTTTGAGACAGTCTCCCTAAGTTGCCAGGCTGGGTTGAAATTTGCAGTCCTCCTGCTTCAGCCTCTTAGAGTGCTGGGATTACAGGCGTGGGTCTGGCCTCTCACTAATTTTTAAGAGCGGCACTGGTTCCGGTCCGAGGAGTGTGAGCACCGCTAATCTAGTCCATGTTTGAGAGCGGGGAGACGTGCTGAGTTTCACACGGACAGCGCTGACTCGAGAACCTTCCTGGAGGCTTTCCAAGGTCCCTGTCTATCAAATCTGGGACTCAAGGACGGCCTCACTGGGGAGACAGCGCGTTCGTTATCACAGAAGCCACATCCGATGGCTGCTGGGATGATCTGGAACTTAATTATCAGGGGTTTTGACGGCAGGCTGACTTTGACCTGCTGTGGTTTCATTTCTTTCTAGCTGTGCAAACAGGGTCACGTTTTTGTTTTTTTTTTTTTTTTTTTCTTTTTTTTGGTCTTGTTTTGATGCTGCGGACCGGACCCAGGCCCTGGGGCGTGCAGGTACCCTACTCCTGAGCTACACCTGCAGGGCCAAGGTATTAAGTCTGAGTTTCCCCTCTGCAGAAGAGGAATGACGAGGTCCCCGTAGCTCTAGGCTTCAGTGAAGCCCTTGGGACCTGTATGCAGCATCTGGCACCCATGTGCTCGCTTCTGTTGTTGGGGCTCAGGGCTTGATACCCCAGTGGAGCACCTTAGTGTCTGGGGAACTCTGAGCGGGAGGCACCAGAGGGCCTCAGAAGCAGGGTCGTTCTGATCCCGTCCCCTGCCTGTCACCTATTCCCAAGAGTGAGTGAAAGCAACTAGAGCTTTTCTCCCCCAAGGTGGGTCATAGAAGCGGGAACCCCACTTTTCCCAAAAAGCCGTTAAGACCTAGAAATACTACTCTAACCTCCTCTCCCCTTGGCTGTTTTTTCCTGCAGCGTTGGGACTAGCACCCAGGATCTTGCAAATGCCAGCCACGCGCTTCCCCAGGGAGCTACACCTCCAACTGACACCCCTCCCCCTTAATTTTGAGACAGGAGCTCACTGAGATGCCCAGGCTGGCCTCAAACTCCTCACCCTCTACCTCAGCCTCCCTGGTACCGCAGTGGGGTTGCAGGTGTGGCCACTGCAACCAGCACCCTTACTCCTCACCCCCTCACCCACTCTCATGCTGGGGACCCAACCCGGGGGGCACTCTACCACTGACTGGCCCTCGGCCCTTTTTATTTTGAAACAGTGTGCCGCTAAATTACCCAGGCTGGCCTCCGATTTAGGACTCTCCTGCCTCAGCCTCCAGAGTAGCTGGGATTACAGGCATGCATGGCAGGCAGCTTTTCTTTTTCTAATGTGTGGTTTGTGATAGGAGGTATTCACTGTAACCCGTATTATAGGTGAGGAAGGGACCACCTTGTATCCCCCCTACACTCTCTAGTCAATGGAAAGGGCTCAGAACAGAGACATAAACTCTTGTAAAACATAGCGCTGAATTTAAAAAATTCTCCCCAGCATCTGTGAAAACTTTCCAGAGAAAAAGAGAGACTTTGGGCCAGGCACGGTGATTCACACCTGTAATCCACTACTCAGCAGGCTGAGGCAGGAGGATCGGGAGTCCAAAGCCAGCTCAGGCAATTTAGGGAGATCCTCTTTCAAAATCAAAAAGGCCCTGGCTCAGTCCCAGCAGGGAAGCAACTTTCCCGGCCTCTCCAAGCTTCCCGGAGCCCATGCGGAGCTGCCTCTATTACCCGAGTTGTCTTCTACTGAAAAGACCCCCCCCTTTGACAATGCCCGTCTTCCGGCCCTCTGCCCCAGGCCTGCATTCCCGTTCTGCACCCTTTGGAAACTGGGTGCCTCATCGCGTCCCGGTACACATGTTGCTGGGCTTTGTGTTCTGATTTAGGGTCTCACTATATTGACCAGACTGGTGTGTGCGTTTATATTTTTCATTTCTCTTACATACTTAGAGGTAAAATCGCTGGGTGACAACTGCACATACATTTGTTTTATTTTTGCGGTGTAAAGCATGCCACCATCGAGCCACATCCCCAGCCCCCGTCTTTTGGTTTTGCTTTTTGAGATGGGGTTTTATCATGCTGTACTGGTTTCAAACACCCTTCTGCCTCAGCCTCCGCAGTGCTTGGACTACAGGTGCACTGCACCACTTCTGCCTCCCGTAATTACTGATCTAGCTAGAGGCACTGTTTGTGTTCCATGGGTCTCAACAACCTTTGTTCCCTTTGTATTGCATTTTATGTGTGTGTACAACTGTATTTTTCTCTTGTTTTTGAGACTAGGTCTTGCTCTGTTGCCCAGGCTGGTCTCAAACTCCTGGGTTTAAACGCCCTCCTGCCCACATTCCTGGGGACAGGCTCCAGACTGTAGCTTTTACCCCGCCCCTCAACCCTGTTCCCACTTCTGCCTCGTACCACAGCACCCCGCCCAGCTGGCCAAGTGGTGATGTTATCCTTGAGAGCAACTTGTGTGTCTTTTTAAAATGTAGAGAGAACCAAGTAAGGTGCCAGTCTACGGAAAAATAGTGTATAGAGTATCACAAAAGCTGCTTACCTGGAGAATTACTTTCTCTCCGTTTTTTGTACTCAGTGACACAATGTGTAATGTGACTTCCTGACAGCAAAAGGAAAAGAACCACAATCCTAAAAAGGCCAAGGCCTTGTCCCCTGTTGTTGGTGATTTGTGACAGGTTGAAAATTGTGTAATAAACTTGATGCTGTCAATCTTTGAAAAAAAACAAAAAAAAAACCAGATGATCTCCTACCTCAGCTTCCCAGATACTGGGACTATAGGTATGTGCCACCACACCCAGTTTGTATGTGCTAATTTGATTCCAAGATTTTTATTATTATTTTGGGTTTTTTTGGGGGGGTGTGGTGGTGCACACCTGTAATCCCAGCACTCGGGAGGCTGAGGCAGGAGGATCATTGCAAGTTCAAGACCAGCCTGGGCTACAAAGTGAGCTCAAGTCCAGCCTGAACTGCATAGCGAGACCCAGTCTCAAAAAAGGACAAAAAAAAATATTTTGGGTTTTTTGTTTTTTGAGACAAAGCCTTGCTCTGTAGTTCTGGCTGGCTTTGACCTCACTATGTCAGGCTGGCCTCAAACTCAACCTCAGTTCTTCTGCCTCAGCCTCCTGGTGCTGGGATTACATGTGTGCCACCACGCCCAGCCCTGCCTTTTTTATGGTAGCAAGGTTTTATATTTATTAAAGGTAAGAAAAGAAACGTGCTCTGTAGAATGAGTTTGGGCCAAGAAAAAAATAGGGTAAGTGTGAGGAGAAGTACCAGGGAAAAACACAGCAGCCAAAAATCTGAGAACGTCTGGAACTTTACTTGGGAAGGTTGGCACGGCTGGTTATAAAACTCCTGGGTCCCACCCCTTACATCTCAGGGGGGTGGTTTTGCCCTCACTGATTACAAGCCATCTCTCCCGGGCTTCCGGCAGTGTGGCTACTTCGTGTCTCCGTGTGGACACCTGGTGGTCATCTTACTCTGAGTGGCAGAATTAGATCTGTAAATCAGTGACATATTTGGGGAGTTTTCAGCCACTATTTTTTTTTTTCTTTTGTAGTACTGGGGACTGGACCCAGAGCCTTTGCACTGAGCTACATCCCCAACTCTTTGTTATTTATTTTTTATTTTTTTGTCTTTTTGAAGCAGGGTCTTGCTATGCAGTGCAGGCTGGCTTTGAGCTCACTTTGTAGCCCAGGCTGGCCTTGAACTCGCAACGATCCTCCTGCCTCAGCCTCCCCAGTACTTGGATTATAGGCACGTGGGTGCCACCACTGCTGCTAATTATTCTTCAAATAATTTTTCTGCTTCTCTTTTTTTCTTGCAGAACTTCCGTTCATTTTTTTATGGCTGTACATTCTGTTTGTTTTGCAGAGACTGAACCTAGGGCTCACACTGAGCTACATTCTATCCTGCTCTCTTTAGTTTTGAGACAAGGTCTCACTAAATACTCGGTTTTCCAAGCTGTGCTTTAACGTTTGACCTGCCTCAACTTTCCAGAGTGTCAATTTTATTTTATTTTTGTTGTTGTTGTTGTTACAGTACTGGGGATTGAACTCACGACCTTGTGCTTGCTGGGCAGGCGCTGTGCCACTGAGCTAAATCCCCAGCCCCTAGAGTGTCAAATTTTTATCCTCAGGTTTTAGCGCCTGTGTCTCCATGACAAAGCTCTGGGAGGTTGTGCCTCCACACCCGGCTTCCTTTCTGATGGGGACTGGCACAGGCACCCTCAGTCCCCAGTGACAAGCAAGGCCCCTCGGCTTTTCCCTCTGGAGGATGCCCCTGAGGTCTCCTATGCACACGCGCGTGTCAGAGGCCGTCCTGGGGAGCCCACGGCTTCCTTCACCGGTCTGGTTTCCCGCTGCTCTGCCATCTGCCTAAGAGCTTGGGTAGCAGCTGGGACTTTCTCATCAAGCCACCTGCTTTCGGCTGATCAAAAAGCGCGATCTCTGTGTCCCGGCTTTCCCAGCAGTAGCAGCAGCAGCCACAGCGTCAGGGTGGCCCTGCCCAGGCTGTGATGGGGACCGGAGCCTGCACAACGGAAGCCCACAGGGGCCTCCCCTACCTGCCACGTGCATGAACCACAGTAAAAAAGGGGATGTTCCAATTTCATTTTTTATTTATGCATTTTTTACCCATTTCATTTTATTTATTGTTACCAGGGATGGAACCTAGGGCACTCCATCACTTAGCTACATCCCCAGCGCTTTTATTATTATTATTATTATTTTTTTTTTTTTGGTTTTTCTCCGGTACCGGGAACCGAACTCACGACCTTGCGCTTACCAGGCAGGCGCTTTGCCGCTGAGCTAAATCCCCAGCCCCGCTTTTATTATTAATTATTGTAGTTACTGGTGATCAAGCCCAGGGGTGCTCCACCACTGGGCTACACCCCTGCCCCCCTTTCAAAGTTCATTTTTGAAAACAAGGTCTTGCTGAGTTGCTGCCCAGGCTTATCCCAAACTTGTGATCCTCTTGCCTCAGCTTCCCTATTAGCCAAGGCTACAGACGTGGGCCCCTGTGCCTGGCCTATGCCTCTGTTTTTAAATTTTCTGCAGGCTGGTGATTTCTAATTGTTTTGCGTCTGCTCTGTCCCTCTGCCTGTGGTTAAGCTCTCCCTGAGTCTCTGGGAAGGAGTCAGCTTTGCAGGCTCCGTCGGGACAGGGCACACAGGGACAGGTCCCTGCTGTGTGCCACCACCACTGGCATCTCTCGCTCCCGGCCTTGTGGCAGACAGAGACCCAGCGTCAGGAAACAGGGAAAGCCTCAAAGTGGAGCAAGTGGTCAGGATTGCAGGGACGCGGCCCAGGCCGCAGCGGTACAGGCTCCCAGGACCTGAACCTGCTCTCCAGCACCCACCTTATCTGAGGTGCTCCGGGAGCCCCATCCCTGCCGACCACGCCCGGCACTGTGCCCTCACAGGAGAGGCACAGCCAGCCACACATTCCCGCCATCACTTGAAGGCTGAATTGCAATTGACTTTCGTGAGGCACTTTGGAGAACAAATGCCAGTTGTAGTAGAGATTTTATCAGCTGAACTCGGTACAGTGGCTCCCCCAGAAGACCTTGGTGACAGGTGCACCTTTCAACTTTGTAGCAATGACTTCCTGTTCCCCTGAGCTCAGGCACAGGGACCCTGGATCGATTGCTCTGGCCTGAGATTTAGCAAGGCAGGAATTGTGCTGAGTCAACGTGACTAAACCTGTGGGCTCCCTCCAGTCCCAGGGAGCAGGCGAGTGTCACGCCATGGGGCACACTGAGAGCTGATGGTAGCAGCACTTCCTCCTTTACAAATGTCCAGGCTACACGGAGTTTCGCTTTGTATGGGATGGTAGCAACCAGCAGCAAAAGCCACAGAACAAGAGCAAAAAGCCTGCTTCCAGGATTGAGAGGACAGGCTTTGAGAGACTGGCTAGGACTGTGTCTTTTCTCCCTGGTGACACACACAGGGCTGGAGCCAGGGCTTCAGGCTGACCTGCAGTTTAGCAAATCCACAAACGCTTGGCACATGGCTACTTATGGAAGTCCACCCACATTACATGCACTAGAAACATTTCTGGCTCGCCCTGACTCCCCAGACCCCAAATCAAGCAAGAGCATGACTTCTACAGGAACAGCCGTGTGCACAAACTCCTGGGGTGGAACACTGTGCTTGCTTACTAAGAGGGTGGAGCACAGTACGCCTTGTGCAGATTTGAAAAGCCCAGCTCTGCCTCTCACTTGCTCTGTTAATTCCTGTAACTGAACACAAAAAGCTCCATCACATCCTAGGAAGAAAACTATTTTGAAAAACGCACAGACCCAGCCAGGTGTGGTGACACATGCCTGTCATCCCAGCACTCAGGAGGCTGAGGCAGGAAGATTGGGAGTTTGAGGCCAGCCTAAACTACAGAGCAAGACCCTGTCTCAAAACTTACCAAACCAACCAACCAACCAACTCACCCACCCAGAGGCCGTGAAACCAAGTGGCCGAGGAGGGAGCAGCTACTGTGCTCCAACAACTGCTCAGGGCCGCGTGAGGACAAGGGGCTCCTGAGGGGTCCTGGGAGATCACCCAGGACCAAAGATGGGGCATCAAGAAAACTCAGGAAAGTAACAAAATGACCTGTGCTGTCAGCTTTGTGAGACTGGGTGACCCTGGATGAGGTCCAGAAGGGTACAGGCAGCTAAGACCTAACCCAAGGTGACTGATTATCCAGTTCAAAGTGCAAGTCCAGCAGAGTGTAAGACTTTTTTTGGTACTGGGAGTTGAACCCAGGGCCTTTGCACTGAGCTATACTCCCAGTCCCCCTTAATTTTTTAATTTTTGGACAAGGTCTTGCTAAATTGCCCAGGCTGGGCTTGAACTTGTTTATTTATTTATTTATTTATTTTGGTTTTTTTGGTCTTTTTCTGGTACCGGGGATCGAACTCACAACCTTGTGCTTGCCGGGCAGGTGCTGTGCCACTGAGCTAAATCCCCAGCCCCCTGGGCTTGAACTTGTGATCCTCCTGCCCCAGTGCCTGAGGTGCTGGGCTTGATTACAGGCGAGCACCGCGCACTGGGCTTCCCGGGCCCGACTGGCCCTGCTTGCTCACCGGGGGCCTGGAAGTGCTGTCTCAAGCTGTCCTGTGCATCCGGAAGCAGCCGCGGTCACAACGGCCTGGCCGCTTCCCTCTGAGCCTACTCTGCCCCTCTACTCACACGGGGGCCCCACGCCAGCGCTGGTGTCACGGACGCCATCACCCTGGCTCCTCGATCACAGTCTGCATCCTGCTGCGGATTCCAGACGACTCTGAGCACATCTGAGCTCCCAGAGCCCGTAGCCTGGGACAAGGGCTCCGTGCTGAGGCCCCGGGCCCAGGCGCAACCACGGCCTCTGCGCCAGTGTCCGCAGCAGAAGAGGGGTCCTGGCCTCCTGTCTGCTTCGTTCCTTTCTCAGTGGCTCGAGCCTGGGAAATCGTCTCGTTAGCCACCAGCTTCCCGCAGCTTCCTGCACCTCCCTGCTGCCAAACCTGCGCAGGACGTGGCGCTCACAGCCTCGCTCTGCCCATACTTCCCTCCCTCGGGGCCAGGTGTCACTGTCTCTGCGCCCACACCTCCTCTTCTGTGCTGGGCGCCCTCCTCCCGACCCTGACACCCTGACACCCTGACGGCGGAGTCCCTCGAGGCCCAGCCTCAGTCCCTGACCTGTGGGAAGCCTTCACTTCCGTGCTGACGACACCCGAGTCCAGCTGTTTCCTAGCTGCGCGGCCAGCTCCACACAGGAGACGCAGGCCTCGTGGACCCCGCCGGAGCTGTTCTGCCGGCTCCCGGGACGCTGCTCTCTGCTCACGCACGCCCTGCCTGGACCCTGGGTTGCTGGCTCCCAGTTCACCGTGGTGAGCCCCAAGTCTTCCTCAGCCCTAACCCCCGGCCTGGTTGCTTCCTGATGGCTCCCGTCGCTGTCCCCTTACTGAGCCCACACTGACGGGACTGCTGAGCCTGCACCCCCGAGGACACTGCTGTCCCAGGGGCTTCATTTCCCTGCACAGAGCGGCAGTGACCGGGGGTCTGCTGGCACAGGGTCCTGGTCCCCATCCCGTCTTCACTCGGCCTGGCTGTCCCGTGACACTGACCACCCAGTGTCGTGAATCCGCTTACTGAGGGACTCACATGGCGCAGCAGGCGAGGTGCGCACCCAGACATGGGCTGAGGATGCCAGTGCTGTTGCTGAGGGCGGCCGGCCTGCTCATGGCGGGCATTCACTGGGGACAAGCACTCCCCACTGAGCTACACAGCAAGAGGGCTCGTGAAGTGACACCGACAGTGGGGTCTTCTTTTTTCCTTCTTCTTTTTTTGAGACAGGGTCAAGCTATGCAGTGCAGGCTGGGCTCGAACTCTTAATGATCCTTTTGCCTCGGCGGCCCGAGTGCTGCGATTACAGATGTGTCCCACCACACCCGGCTTCGACAGTGAGGTTCTCAAACCAGACCTCAGCCTCAGAACCACCCCCGGCCCCGGCCCCCAGAACGGCCACCGCCTCACAGGCGGTGACCCAGGGCTCAGAGGAAACGGTGCTGTCCACCCACAGGGCAGCGTCGCTTTCCTGGATTTGTAGAGAGCACTGACTCAAGAGCAGCAAAAAGGGATGTGTGGGTCGCAGCACTGAGCTTTTTTTTTCCCCTGAGCTTTTGACTTAGAATTATCTTTGCCAATTAAGAAATCAGTGTGTCCTAAGTTTTTTTTTCTTTTAAGACAGAGTCTTTTGTGTGTGTGTGTGTGTGTGTGTGTGTGTGTGTGTGTGTGTGTGTGTGTGTACTGGGAATCAAACTCAGGACCTTGCACTTGCCAGGTAGGCGCTCGTGCCGCTGAGCTATAGCCCCAGACAGACAGTCTTGCTATGCAGTTCAGACTGGCCTTGCAATCACTATGTAGCCCAGGCTGGCCTCAAACACAGCGATCCTCCTCCTGCCTCAGCCTCCCGCATGCTGAGATGACAGGCATGCCCCACCACACCTGGATTTTGCTTTCCAAAGGGTACAGGATATGGCCAGGCATGGTGGCGCACGCCTATAATCCCAGCACTGCTGAGGCTGAGGCAGAAGGATCCTTGTGAGTTCAAGACCAGCCTGGGCTACAAAGTGAGCTCAAGGTCAGCCTGAACTGCTGCATAGCGAGACCCTGTCTCAAAAACACAAAACAAAACAAAGGTACAGGATGCATGCAAACCAGGAGCCAGAGATGCACTTGTTGTACCTTTATTATTTTTTCCTTGTTCACTAAGAACTCCGTGATGCAAGGTTACCATACACAGTTAGGTAATGTCTGCGTTGCACACCTAGGGCTATACAGCAAAAGAACCCGAATTAGTACAAATACAAGAACCGTATTTACATCGTGTATACTCAAGCTCCAAACATCAGATATTATTTACAAAATAAAACATGAAAATGAAAATCCAAAATTAATAATGTACATTGTTGCTAATGTGCTCAACTCCTTCACTGGGGAGAGATCAGTCTGCGAAGTCCGGGTTCAGAAAGGCCACTTATGCTCGTGGGGCTTGTGACAGCATGTGAGGATGGGGACAAGACTCACACACAACAGACAAGCACTGCAGCGCCACAGAGGCGGAGACCAGGCCTGCGACACGAGAAGGCTGGGGGGTTCCGCGGTGACACACAGCATGGGAAAGGACAAATGGTAAGACATGGGGGACAACGCACGACAGCCAGGGTTGGCTAGAGCCCCTCCTCAAGGTGCACATCCTGTCCCCACAGCCACTGCCACGCATTCAGGCGCGGGGGGCGGGAGTGCGAGCGAGACAAGCGCACCACCGGAGCGGCACCGGCTCACTCCTCCCTCTCACCGCCGGGGGCTCCCCAGGATCTGCTGGGGCTCGGGTGCTAATTTCATAAATGGCCTTTTGAACAGCAGCAGCGACCCACCTCTCCGCTGACGACCTCTGACCCGCTCCACACACGACGGCGGGGCGCGCACCCCAGAGGCCTTGAGTGCACTCAGCAAACCTTCTGGTGGCAGCAGAGCGAGGCGTCTCCTCCTCAGGAGCAAGCTCACAGTCCCACTTCAGAAAGGGAACCCGGGGGAAGGGAGGGACCCACGCACCGGCACGGAGACCGCCGGGGAGCCGGGCAGGTGCAGCATGTGAGTGCGTTCTCTGCCGGCCCAGGGTGCAGTTCACGACAGCCGTGCAGCTATGCACAGAACTCTCAAAGTTAAACATCCCCGTCAACTAGACAAGCAGCAGGCAACAGTCTTCGCTTTGAGTACGTGCCAGGAGGGTTCGTCCTGTCTCAGATCCCAGACCTTTCACGATGGGCTCATTTTTTCCTTCATCTAAACAAGCTGAAAAACCCAACCAAAATATGACGGCTATGTAGCCAATGGGGGGTGTCGGTAACGGGGGCTTCTACCGGGAGGACACTGCCCAGCCTCGACAGCGGCTGCTCCTGATGAAGGCACAGCCCAGGTGCCCACAGCGCGGCAGCAGCCCGGCCTTGCTCCTGACCGTGAGGCTGGCCGGCCCCACACAGCCCGCCGCAGAGCTTGCCGACCCCCGGCGGGCACAGAGACAGAGGCGGGAGCTGGCATGGGGCTGTCTGCGGGGCCACACTGTGCCCTGCGGGGAGAGAGGAGGGTGGCGCGTGGAGAGGAGGAGGAGATATCAGTGTTAACCAACACTCATCTTTCTGTAATTTGCGTAAGAGTTTTTTGGCTCTACGCTTGTTTGGTTAAAGGAGTGCTTTAAAAAAATGTGGTTCCCTCAAAGATTAGGTTTATTCACTTTCCTCCACCATGGCTACAGCCAGCCCCGCCTGCACTTCCTGCTGTGAACCCTGCCCTGGAGCTCGAAGCGGAGCTCGAAGCGGAGCTTGGACCCTCCACCCTCCATCCTGATAGCCCTGCGGCGCAGGGCGCAGGGAGGGCCGTACACAGGGCCCCGCAGGACTGACTGCGCACCCACTTCCACCACCTCCCCACAGCCCTGCCGCCTCAGCACCAAGAACACGGCCCAGCTCCACTCCCATGTCAGAAGCCCCCAAAGCAAAGACTTTCCAATCCAGTTTCGTTTGTGTTAGAGAAAAACACGAAAGTCTCCCTCAGGGTCCCACCTCCCCTGCCAGACGTGGACCCTTCCGTTCAAGGTCTAACCTCGGAACAGCAGCAACCTCAGTGATGTGACTTTACAAGTGACTTCGAATTTCATCTTCATTTCCCTGAAATTAGACTTAGTTCCAGCCCAGGGAGCTGCCGGGAAGCACGTCTGAGTGGACGTGAGAAGGGTATTTTGTGTCTTAGTGAAGAGAGACTGCTAGCTACGTCAGAAACCTCACATACACATAGAAAATGAAGACCACTACAGTCAGTGACCTGCGTTGTAGGGGGAGACAGATAAAATCCACCAGAGTTTCTGCTGCTCACTTTCGGCTCGGCCTGGCTAACTTGGCCCTTTCTCTTTGTGAAGCTCTTGGTGACATCCCGTCCCCCTCTGCCAGGGGCCCCTCGTGCCTCTTTGCGGAGCCCAGGCCTCAGGGCCAGAGCTCGGTCCCTAGAGATGGCACTGCGGGGCGCAGGAGCTCTACTGGGGAGCAGCCCAGCCCCCACCCCGAGCAGGGCCAGGAGCACGGCCTTCCTGATGACGCAGCAGGGACCCCGGAGCAGGCTGAGGTGGTATGAGAGGGCGGAGACCCGGGCACAGCGACTGCAGGGCCCAGGCCCTCCGTGAGGCCAGGTCCCCGCGAAACACACGGCAGCCAGGAGAGCGCGGCCCCTGAGGTGGCTAAGCCAGCGGCTTGGTCGGCTGGAGGAAAAGGAGACTCGGTGGTGGCCGTGAGCTCTCTTTTCTTCGTGGGCAGCATCTTCGAGCCACGGAGCAGACGACAAGCAGAGAACCACGGGGCGGGCTCCCCGCCAGCCTTCTTGTGTCGTGTGTTTGGTGGTGGGGTGGCCTTGGCCGGGGGTCCGGCGAGCATGGCTACCGCACTGCTTTCTCGAGCACTGGAGTGACTGGGAACGGCCAATGCACGCAGAGGACATGCCTGAGTTTCTGCCCAAAGCTGCGTTTCTCTGATGGAAGCAAGTTACCACACTCACAAGCCGCTGTTCAGCATCACCATCGTCATAATGTCCACAAGGACCACTGAGGCCACACAGACAAGTGAAGCACTCCCTCTGTGGCACCCGGGCACGTGACACGGTGCTGTGGCCCTCCCAGATGCCCAGAAGAGCTCCCAGGGCTCCTGGAGAGCAGCTCCCTTCTCCAAGGAGAAAAGGGCTCCCCAGGAACCCTGCTGTGATGCATCCTCTGATTGCTGTCCCCACGGCCAGTGGCACATCCTTTGTCCATCCCTTCTCACGGGCTAACAGCAGCCACTGTCCTGGGTCTCCTAGAGGCCTGCCTGTCCTCCTGCTCTAGGAAAACCCCGTAACTACTTCCCACAAGTCACGGGCCTCAGAAGATAACTGCCCCCGCCTGCGCTCACCACAGCTCTGTCCGCTATGGAAACGCAGGGCTGGGCCGGGGCCAAGGGAGACAGTGGGCGGGAGAAAGGCAGGTTTCTTCCCCAGGCTCCGACAAGGCCAGATGCGCCTCCCTTGGTCTCTAAGCCACCCAAGAAAACTAAAGTGACATCACAGAGAACAGAAGTTACCCTGAAAAACAGACAGGTGTGCAAAGACGACAGACACCACTGATGGTCACGTCGGGGATCCGTCACACAAAAAGAAGCCAAAGTGCACCAAGAAGTAATTCAGTGGATATCCTCACCGGGTGTGTGTGTGTGTGTGGCGGGGGGGTTATTTCTGATTTTTAAAAACCTGTTTTCCTTTTGTTAGGCCACATGCTACTAACAAGATTCTCAGCACAAGAAAAAAGAAGAGCACAGAGCCATGGGGATGGGGACAGGAAAGTAGAAAAAGTGTCGGACAGGAGGGCAAGCAGTTAAGTCACAGGTTACATACGAGAGCAGCCATCAAGAACCACAGAGAGAATGAGAGGTAACGCTTCCTTTATCTCCTCCTTTATCTCAGTACTTGGGCTGGCTCGGGCACCTCCGGGACAGCTTTGACCTGCGGGGCAAACGGGAGCGGGGTCAGAACGCCGGGTCTCCGTGCGCGCTCCTCTCTGCCACTGCAGGCCCGGGTCTTCCTCACTGCGGCACCTGAGGCACAAGGCCCTCACAGGATCTGAGGCTGCACCACAGGGCTGTGCTCTGCCCCACCTGCAGCCCTCTTAAGAGCCAAAAAAAAGACTAACTGCTCGGATCACAGGATAACAGTTCTCTTTTTCGGTGGTGCTGGGCACGGAATTCAAAGCCTTTACATGGAGCTACAACCCCAGACCTTTAAAATATTTTACTTTTGAAGAAGCAAGTTCTATCCTGCACAGGTACAAATTCCCTATGATGAATGTAATCAGTATGTATACTGAAAATGTACCAATTTTAAAAAAGTAAAGTGTGGAAAAAAAAATTTTTATTTTTGAGACAGGGCTTCGCTAAGTGGCTCAGGCCAGGCTTGAGTGCCCCGGCCCCTGCCTCCTCCCTCAGAGCACCGGGTTACTGCGGCCCGGCTCGAGGTGAGCTCTCGGGGACAGAGGCCAGAAGCACGCTGCCACCTGGTGACAGCCCTGCCCCCACCACTGTTAACCTAACTAGAGCAACGCCTCCTTCCCTGCAGAGGGGAGAAGGCAGCCAGGAGGCACTGCTCACCGGATTGTGCCAGCAAGGAGCGGGTTAAAGGCATATAACCAGTCGTTCATGTCTTTGTCATTGAGAGCCTGCAGAAGGACCCCGCGATGCTTTGTGCACACGGCAAAGGTGTTGGGCGTCTGGAAGAAACAAGCAGACAGGAAAGTCAGTGCAGGGCGTGAGCGCCGGTCACCGGCCCGCCGCGCTAACAGGGTCTCCGGCGCGGCACACCAAGGAGAGCCTCGCGGCACAACAGAGCTCCGAATCGGGAGGAACGGGACACATGGCAGTGAGGCCCAGACGGGCAGGACTGACCTTCACCATCGCCTGCTGGTCCTCACTGTACTCCACCTGGGCCGTGCACAGGTTAACGATGCCACGTTCCACCGGGTCCTTGTCGCTGTTATAGATGAAGACGTAGGGGCGACGGACCACGACAAAATGCTTGGCCCAGCTGCTGGAAAGCGGCTCCTTGAAATGCAGGTATCCCTTCTTCGAGACCACTGAGCTACAAGGACAGTATGAAAGCAGAGAACTTAGTTTCTCACAAAAAGAAGATGGTCACGAGCTGAGGCCCATCCTGATGGGTTCTCCGTGCAAGTGCTGGGATGCAGCAGAGCAGGAAAAGCATCCAAATGGCCCGGACTCCTACAGGCCCAAGCGGCAGAGCAACACAGCAAACAGTGCCCCCACCCACACTATACCAGCACCGGGCAGGAACCCGGCCCAGCTGCGTGAGACCAGGACACAGCCGCGCAGGAGCCGCAAGTGAACTCGCACGTGGCCACTCATTGGTGGACCCTGTTCAATGTGGCACTCACCCTGGGCGGATTTCTTCAATATCTGGAAGGAGATTGAGAAATTCATGTTTTCCTGCTCGGGCCAAATAGGGTGTCTCCACAGCTGGGACGATCTGAAACTGTTCAAACTCCGTGCAGGGACTGGAGGCCCGGGAACTGGCTTCCGGGGTCCTTTAAAGACAGCAGGCCAAAGAGTGATGGCGAGCCTTTCTGAGCTTCAGTGGTACAAACAGCACACTGCCACTGGGCTACAAGAAGGGGCAACGAGGTCTGGGAAGGACGCGCAGCCTCTCCCAGAGCTCACCTGAGAAGTGACTCAATTCCCCTCTCCTGGAGGACCACCAGGATGGCTCTCCTTGAAGAACAGCATTCGGCTCCACTTTGGCTAAGCCTGGCTCTATTCCCACCATTCTGATAAATACAGAGCTGGCTAGGACATTTCCTTATCCCCTCAGCTGGCTTCAAGCAATGCAAATGGGTCTCGCTGAGGTGCTGATGTGTAGTCATTAAAGCAATATGGCAGGTCAGTGATGCCCTGATTACAGCTCCCAAGCAGTAGGTGTGAGCTAGTGTTGGGAGCAGCTGAAGCTATGCTGAGAGACACCACACCATCGGCTGGGATTGAGCTTCAAGAAAGAAGCTATGGTATCTCAGGGCATGAAAATTACACATCAGAGCCAAACCACCTACCCTACATGAGATACTTAATCTGTGTTATGCAGACTACTCTTCCTGCATCTCTCTCTCTGCATGCTGCAGAGGTGCTACCTCGCCTCCTACCTAGCCCGGCTCACAGCACTCACCTACTTCCCACCATTCTCACAGCACTCAACCATGAGCCACGCCCCTCTTCACGAATTAATAAAAACCATGGTTCAGCCCTGGGTGGAGGCCTTTGTTCCGGTTAGCCATCATTCTAGCTGGACTTGGGACCCCCCTGGCTCACTAAAACTACAAACATGCCTTGGTGTCTTTATTCTCACCATGGACTGCACTGTAAGTGGTAGACTGGAATTACTTATTGGAATTCTAGTAACTTTCCCCTGAGATTACAAATGTAAACTCCACCAGGCCGCAGCGAGGTCTGGGAAGGGCTTCCTGCACACTCTTGTCCTCCCCGAGAGTTATAACAGCCCACTGATGAGCACTGAGCCACTTCTCTGCCTTTCCAAGGCCCCCGTATTTTGAGAGGAACTGTATGCCCGGATATACAGGTTTTTTAAGTCCCAGGGAAACCCTCGGCAGTGGTGCTCAAACTGTAGTCACAGACCACGAATGGCAGCTTTGCCCAGGAAAATGTCAGAGGCTGCAATTCTTAAGACTCTCACATCTCCAGGATTGGAAATTCTGGGCGGGGCATGGCCAGCTCACTTTGCGAGCTTCGCAGGAGTGCTGGCTGGCACCCCCGGCCTGGAATCGTCCGCCACGGAACAGCGCTGACAGCAGGCAAACGCTGAGCCTAGGTCCCCAAGAGCCGTGCAGGCAGAGCTGCACACAGACGCCCAGGCCTCCGAACGGCCCTGCGCAAAACAGAGTCCTCTGTGCTGTGTTGTTAGGTGTCTTAGTTGAGCAGCTTAGCCCATTCCATCATTTCTTTTTAGTCTTTTGTTCTTTTTTGAGCCTGTAGTAAAGGCTGGCCTTAAACTCACTATGTAACCCAGGTTGGCCTCAAACTTACAGTGATCCTCCTGCCTCAGCCTCAGAGTGCTGGGATGATAGGCGTGTGCCAGCACACTTGGCTGCTTTATAATTTCCTGAATTGGGCTTCATTTGGTAACTAACAGCATGTTGAGTTTTGTTAGTTTTTTTTAGACACACGTAAAATATTTTACAGCCAGCAGCCTCTGACGTGTAGTCAGAGTGAGGCAAGGCTCCACCACTCCGGGGCTGCCCGGGCGACACACGGCCTCCCCACGCCGGCACTTACTTCTGATCCACAGAGCTGCTCCTGGAGTCGACCAGAGAGGGGCACGTGGAGGATGGGGTGAGGGTGGCACTGCTGAAACTGGACACAGAGGGATCCTGTCCCATTGGAGAGATATCAGACAACTAGAAGCAAAAGGAACACGGCCCATGAGATGCAGCAGCAAAGGCTGCACTGGCCATAGGAGCTCTGGCAGCCAGCGCCTCCCTCTCACCAGCTGGCTGCAAGATCACACAAGAAAACAAGACAGCTGCAATCCCAGTACTTGGGAGGCCAAGGCAGGCAGTTCACCACTTCAAGGCCAGCCAGAGCTAGATGGTAAGTTCAAGGCCAACCTCGACTACAAGGCAAGACCTGTCTCAAGGAACAAAACCAAAGCTAGCCATGGTGGCCCACACCTGTAATCCCACCACT